GCAGTTGTAAGCATAGAAGACGCCGAAAAAATCATTCCAGATTTACTTCGAGTTGCAGCTGCAGCCAGCAAGCTCAAGGTTACTAATTATATGGTGTCTCAAAAAAATTAAACATTTAGCTATTTTGTTTCTAAATCTTCCTTAAATTTTTTATGAACAGATCTTATACCTCCTTTCATTACTAAAGTACGACATGAAGTTGATAAAAATATAAGTTACGATATTATATAGTCATCTCATCTGGATTTAGCATACTTAATATTCCCTCCAGACAATTTTTCCAGCGTCCAAGATTAGGAGTTGTTTTGGTATAGTAAGATCACACTGTTCTGGGACACAGATCGTTCTTTACATACTTCTATAAGCTGGAGGGGAAAGGAGGGAAAAAAAGTATGTACTTTTTGACTGGACCTCCATTGCCGTTATCCATAAGTCCTCCCAAAAATAGACTCTGTAGGCTACTTATTGATAACTACCGTTCCACCTCAATTGAGCAAATTGAATTACTGGCAGCTAACAAGGCCATTTTAAATAATTTTTAAAGGTAAATGATAATTTATTTTTGATGCGCGAAGATAAGTAATTTTGTACATGTTATAAGGAATGGTTGCAAAATTGAATTATGTAACTGGAAGATTTGTATCTATGAGAATCTAAGCTTTAGCGCATATGCATTTTATATCATCTCTGATTCATTGGTAAGTAGTAACTTTCATTATTTTTGTATTTTTATAGCTTGAAAACGTGACAGTTAGTTTGGTGAAACAACCTGACACTGCTCATCACGAGCTTGTGATAGAATACGAGAGCCATGTTGAGGACAGTGCCGACTTCAACCTTTCTCAGCTCATCTACAGTCAAGCGCAAGAGGCGGTATGACATTTAGGATATATCTCGTAGCAGAGTAATCAACTTTTTTTCTAGGAGGAAAAGCCAGAAGTTTGGTCTCGTCGTTCACGTTACTCTGAGATTGATGAGAATGTTGTTGCAGTTTTCGTCGAAGTAGACGCAAACTGTCCAGATCAGGTAGGACTTGATTTTTGGCAGATCGACGCTAGGCCTAATATGTGTAGTAATGGAAGATATAAAG